CCCCAAAACCCCAAAACCCCAAAACCCCAGCATGAACAAATATTGTGGAAAAAATGTAAATACTAAATAAGCTTAAATTAATTGCAATTATATATAAATACATACAAACATATTAATAATGTCCCTAGAATTCCAAAGAATCAAACCTAAAAGGTAAGAATATACAATCAATAGATGACTTTATTATTCTATAATAGGTTTCCAAAGAAGAGCTTTAAGCACTCTTAGGAGTCAAGGTACTGGAAGAAATACCAAAATGTGCTGATGGAGAAGGATGAGAGCATGCAGATAAATGACATCAGCTTTTGCAAAGGTGAAAAGCCTTACCTAATGGCAGCTGCTATCTCAGCTAGAGTAGATATCTACTCACTGACTTAGCCTGAAGGAGAAGATTGTATGTTTGCTTATAAATAATGAATATCCTTGTATAGTTGATGATGATAAACTAAAGCCAATGAGTTAGCTGTATAAGTTTAAGGATGCAGTGAGTGCTATTAAAATGAGACAAGATGGCAATCTGCTGCTAGCAGGAGAGAAGTCAGGCAGAATCTAGCTCTTTGAGATAAAGAATAAGTTCATTTTGAAAACCTTAGTTGAGAACTAAAGTCAGATTAATGGCTTTGATTTCAAGAGCAATATGAGGGAGTTCGTGGCTTGCTCTAATGAATCAGGTATCAAGTACTTTGGAATTGCAGAGCCACAATCACTGTTCACGATTAAGAACGCTCACAACGATAACATCAAGCGTGTTTAGTACGTGAGTGACAACCTTATCCTTAGTGGAAGTTAGGACAAGACTGTTAAGCTCTGGGACTTAAGAAACTACACCAGTCCACTCTCAAGTGCGACATTTTAGTATTCAATTGAGGACTTTGTCAGCTACAGAGATAACACATATGCTGTGGCCTCTGGGAATATAATCAGTTAGCTATGTATTGATGAACAGTCTCAGCTTAAAATACAGAGTGAGTTTATTGCATTCTAGAAGCCAGTTATGAGAGTTTAATATGATAAGACTAGAGATAGAATCATGGCTGGAGGTCTAGACAACTAGCTTAAATTTTTCCAGATTGATGAGAGCAGTGACCTTAAAGTGTCCTATAAGATCAAAGTGCCCTCAGAGATATTTGCATTAGACATATCTTCTGATGGAAATCATTTTGCCCTCGGACTTAATACTGGCTCACTTATCATAAAGTCAAAATTAATCGAGTAATTAGAAGAAGAAGATGAAGAGGCGAAGTTGATGAAGTCCTTTGAGCCAGAATTCAAGTCAAAGAGCAAAAACTACAAGTATTTCTATAGAGGCTAATATGTTACTCCTTCTCTAGATGATATGATTGCCACACAAAAGCAAAGAAAGACTAAATTGCAGGCATACGAGACCTTCCTTAAGAAATTTCAATACAAGCAAGCACTCCTAAGTGCTTTGAATCTAGGTAATCCAGAAGTGATCCTCGCATTGCTAGAAGAACTTATTGAAAGAGGAGGTCTTGAGTTATCTCTAAGCAACTACAGTGAGAGTGAGCTGATTAAACTACTGGAATTCCTGACTTAGAAAGGCTTTGACCACAGATATCAACTGATATTGATTGAAATACTCAGGATAGTGCTTGATATGTACTCAGGGGTAATTGGGAACTTCTCATAGAAGGTGGACAACATAGTGTTCAAGAGACTTAAGAAGAGCATTGAGGAGTAGATAACACTTACCTCAGATCTCACATAGCTAAGTGGATAAATTGTAAGATATATTCATCGGTAAAATACTATTTAGGATATGATATTGGGTAGTTTCTAGTTCATGAATAAGATTCCAAGTCAAATCAGCTAGAACTGAGCGCAATAAAAGTTAAGCAACAGACTGAATAATTAATTAAAACTATTTATTTATGTTAATGATTTTATCAAAAAATGTTAGCATTCAGGGGTTTTGGGGTTTTGGGGTTTTGGGG